TGACCCTTCCTCAGAACTGATGGTGGCTGGGAAAACGTCAGTTTATAGTCAGCTGCATATAAACTGATGTTTTCCCAGCCACCGTCAGTTCTGAGGATGGGTCACCGGACCCGAAACGTTTAACTCTGCTTTCTCCTTCACAGATGCTGCCAGACCTGCTGAGCTTTTCCAGCAACTTTGTTTTTGTTAAATTATTACCTTTGAAGAGGTCTGTCCATGCTCTTAATGCTTCAGTGTTGTGCACACCAGTGCTAATTTTGGGTGTGATGATAATGGAAGTGACCAAGTGTATATTACCTTGCTGTGCAGGAGATTTAAAAGATATCCAGATAGAAAAGATAAAAGATTTTCTGAATGCCTGTACAAAAAACAATAAAAGGACTGTACGCAGACAAATTGGTGAGCCTATTATATTCCTTTAGGGAAATTCTATGAAAATAACCATTGGATTTGGAGGAATGTTGTGACTTGTTGCAAGTACGCCTTTTTCCGTTTCTGATTAAAAGAATACATGGATTCGATCTTTAACTTGGTATCATTACATTGCATGGTTATGCTGCACTACAGGCCTCAAATATGGCCTGAAAACCATTGAAATATGAGCTCTGAATTAGCAAGCTATCCCTGTCTTGAAATTAAGTTATTGCGAGTGTTATGGACCAGACCAGACCAGACCAAAACCCCTTTAAATAAATCAAGGAGATAACCTAGATCCCAACTTATTTAAAGGCAAATATAAGGTGCTGTGTTCCAAATGTAATTCGATTGGTAACACTATTCAGCTTTAATCAAAACACACTTTATTCTTTACCCTACAGTGAAAATACAAACAAAAGAAAGAAGAATCGGTCAAACTTTAACTCTATTGGACAACTTAACAGAATAATAGATTATTTAACTACTAAACAGCAACTGTTCCTATATACTAGTATCCCATAAACACACCCGTGGGAAAGGCAAATTTAATAAAATAGGTTGTCTCACAGGCAACGATTCCCCAGTCCAGGAAGAAAGAATACCAAGAGAAAAGTCTAGTGGAGAGAGTGGACTTTAGCTTTTAGCTGTGGCTGAGAGAGATGTATAATTTCCACAGCCAACTTCAAAATCCCAACAACTATTGAAAGCTAAACTAAAACCCTGGTTCCATGGGAGCCTGACTCCATCCATTTCATGCTGATTCTATTGTTCCAACTTTTAAAAAAAATCCCAAGGCCTCACAAGCTGTGTACTTTTATTGGCTTGGAGAAGACAGGTCCCACCTATGTCTCAACCTTTCTTCATTTTAAAACAAAAGGACAAAATGCACCCCTTAAATCTACAGTATCATCACACAAGTATCAATTTACACATCTACTAGTCTAACTTGGTCGCAACTCCAGTGACTTTTGTTGAATCTACCAAATTTGGCCACCATGTCTGTTTTATTCAATGTCCCCTGGTTATTTCCTACCTCTGGGAATAAGGAATAACTCTACCATCCATTCAACCATAACAAACATAAATAATTATGACTGTAGTTGTGGTGGTATTCTACAGAATATTCACATAACTGGAACATCTCCATTCACTCCATTCAAATTGTGTTTGGTGATGTGAGCAAGGATTCAGACTTTCACATTTGAACCATGACATTACTCTTACAGTAAACTTGTCAGTATGTATTGGCAAAAATGACAAGTCAGAAGAACTAAAAAGCTCCTATTGTTCTATCTAGCCTGGCATAAGTAAAGGTAATGAATTAGTTTGACCACAAGTAACCAGACATGTGGCTTCCTTCAAAATCGAAACCATAGATGTGCAGATATGTACAAATTGCATTATGCATCAAATATCGCCAGTGCCTGCACCACAGCGCTGAGAATTTAGGAACACCTTGGAATCTAGCTTCTTGGACATGTGTAATTTGGCTGCAAGCTATTAAATAGACCCAAAAGCCTTGGGGTCAAATAGCATTGTTAGGTAGAAGCTGAATCCAGTCTTTATCAATTTTAGGCTACTGAACTGACACCAAGTACTTTAGTAGAACTGCAACGAATTAATCATTAAAAGACAGTCGATAAGCTATGTTGGAGGTGATGTATCATACTGTTAGAAATTTGTTACAGTTCCTTATTTTTGTGTAAATTTGGTGCAAAAATGTAATGCAGCAAATGAGTAGGAGATTTTTGTTTTGACAATCTATTCTGGAATTTTCTTGTGAAATGCCAGTCTTCCTACATATCAGATATCATGATGTAATTTCACTATTATTGGATTGCTGTGTTATTGGCTTGATTCCTAAAAGCTTGGTTTCACCGTCAAATTACAGATTGCTGTGCAGTCTACCAGGTGACGGAGCAGCTCATGTCAGAAGAAAAACTTGAAAATTGGAAAATGTGAATAATCTAGTTTAAAAATTCTGTTTTCTTTTAAAATTTGTTGCTTTAGTTAGGTTGTGCATCTTTTTGTTAAATTGAATGTAATATGACATACAGTTTCAGTTGAAATTGATCTGAACATAAAGGTTTCCTGGTTACTCAGTGAGTGAACATAACATGTAGCTCCCAGACTTTGTTCCAAATGTATATTAAATTAACACGTCTCAATTGGAGCAGTGGTGGAGGTGGAACATAATTCCCAAGGGTCTCCTTATCTGGGAAAAAAGGAAGTGTGCAAGTAGTCATCAGAATTAGGCTTTTTAGATTATGACAGTGCCACAGTAGAATACTTTGCAATCAAACATGTTTGTAGCTTCTTAAAAAAAAAAATGATTTCCAGCATCCGCAGTTCTGAATCAAAAACAGAAATTGGAGAAATTCAGCAGGTCAGCAGCATCTGTGGCAAGAAAGCAGACTTTATCACCATACCAATGAAATGTTACGTTAGGTAAGTGCATGGAAGAAGGTCCCAATATAAAGAAATTAGAAGCTAGGAAATGTAATTGAGCATGCTTTATCCCTGTAGCCTTGTCTCACAACCCAATCTGAAAATTTTGTAAAGAAACTCTTTCTATTCTGTAAACCAATTCATTAAATGTTATAGTGCATCAGGTGTGCCCCTACTTTCAGATACAGTTTTGAAATGTGCTTTTAGATTTAGAACTAACTAATAATTTTTCTTTTTCTAACAGTGTGACAGTGAGAGTGACATTGATGATAAGGTAAGACCAATTCCTTTTCAAATAAGAAGTTGGGTTTTTTAAAATTTAGTAATGCAGGCTTTGTTAATGACACATAACTTCCAGCATGATGTTTGAAGTTAGCTATAATTTACATAGTGAGAAGGAATTCATGTTGCGTACGGATAAAGTGGCCTTGTTTCAGAATCTTTATAAGCTAGTTAAAAGGTTCACTGCAGTACTGTGAGTGGGCTGAGTAAGGTAACGTAAATTTGTTGAGAACAAAGGTACTTTATTGTGTCGTAACTTGATAACTAAATCAAGAGGAGTTTTAACATTTATATAAGCCATGCTATTAAATTTGATTATTGACATAAACTTGTGTTGCATTCTGTCAACTTGTGCCTTTAGAAAGTTAGGAATGTTTCCATTTCATGAAGCCATCATTTGAAAAATTCCCTTTGAAATTTTTTTTTAATGGAAACAATGGATTTATAAAAAAGGTGAACGGATTTATTTTATGACTGCATCCTGTCCCAAAAATTCTTTCAGATAAAACTTATTAACCTAATCTTTGGCACAGCTTGTACCAATTTCATTTCAGAATACTATACAAATGTGAAACACCTTTGAAATTTTGTTTTGCATTTTGTTAGGTCACATATTACAGTATGCCATGGAAGAGTCTCATTTCATATTTTCCTTGTCATGAATTGCTGTTTTCCATACAAAAGCAATAGTTCTAGTTATCCCCGGTTTTAGGGCGGTGTGTCCTCCAGTTGATGATGTTTCACTTTAGAGAGACAGAGCTACTCTGTATATTCAGCTAGTAACGGAGTTTCAGGTGCAACATGACTTTTGCCTACAAAAGCACTAAGCAAAAATCCGTCTGCAGATGGAATTTAATTAGCATAGCACGATTCAGCTTGAAGGGGGTTGAATACTTTAATAGTCTTACACAGCTGCAAGCCTCAATGATTGGAGTTCTTTACTGCTGTGAGATTCCACTTTGTTCTGTAATAAAACCTGCAAAAAAATTTATATTTTATGGGTCTGCCTTAGCATCTTTGATCTTGAGTTGATATCACTTTAGGAGGTCCTAAAAACTGTGCTGTTATAAATATCTCTACATAACATTTCTAACATTTAACCAAGTTCCTGGTGCTTCCAATAAGTGAAAGCCAGCGTTGCTTACATTTGTTTTACCAACTTGTGAACCTTTTCTGAATATTCATTTTAAAACATGGAAGATTTTTCGAAAAATCTCAATTTTTAAGAACAGTGCTGTCAAGTACAGAAACTTGAAAATTTGCAATGACCTAACTGATGAGGCAAAGAAAAATCAGTGTGATGTTCTTAATTATATCTATACTGAATGCTTCTTGTATTTGAAGTTTAATTAGATTTACACAGAACAAACTTTTAATTTGTGAAACAAAATATGAGGTGTTGAGATTTTCCTACACAGAGAAAACAAAATTCATCAGATTACACATATTAAACATTCTGTGTACTTCACAATACTAGTGTGACCTATAAAGGTGAAGGTCTAATTACAGCAGACTTTTAATGTGAATGGTGTAGCACAGCTGCACTCCAAGGCCACACACATGACCAATGTTAGATGGTTTACAACTACACGTTTTGATAATGCCAACTCTGCCTTCAAATAAATGCACTGTCAGAGGCAGACATAAGCCTGAAGAGCTGAAGTGTGCTACCTACATTTGTATATTTGGCATTGTTACCATTGCCTGTTTGGATCTATTGTTAGGAACACTACTGGCATTTACAAAATAACTATGAACTCTAATTTTGAAACAACTATATGTGCACAATTGGTTTACTCTAAAAATGTTTCTTTCACAAAAACAGAAGCATATCTGCCATAGTAGAACTTTGGAGCAGTTGTTGAAGTATGGCCTCAAGAATTTGTTCACATATTGAAATAGGCCACAGTAGAAATCATTGAATGACCATTGTCCTGTTTTCAAAAGGTCACGATAAAACAGTTTTGTTGATGCACATGTTTGGTTTGAATGCTTTCTTTATATTGCCTGTAGCTTGTCATTGCTACACCTATTTTCCTTCTTTCTTGTGTGTTTTCTTAAAGCCTTGAGGTAAGGGCTACTTGTATGATTCTATTTCAGCATTGCGTGTACCTGTCATTGTCATGGCCAATCTCGTATTTTCTATCCAGTTATCTCTCCCCAGACTTCCTCACAGCCATTGGTTGTTTTTTGCAGGATGTTTGTTTTATCCAAGCTCTCTCCTAACACCCAAAGTACTGGAATTATTTTTCTTTATTGAGTGGACCTCATTTTCACGATTCTAAACCATTTAATTATCTATGGATTATTTCAACAATATAACTGATGATCTTTCTGTATCTCCAGATCTTGAAGAGATAAAATATTAGTCACTCCTCTTTTTTAATGTCCCTGCTTTCCATCATTAAATAGTGTCTGCATTGTAATTCTTTACGTATTGTAAGAATGTGAATACACTGGCAAGGCCCCATTTATTGACATCTTAGTTTCCCTGAGGCCATTAAGAGTAAGTCATGCTTTGTGTGACTAGCATAGGCCAGACATGGTAGATGTGGCAGGTTTATTTCTTAGAGAACATTAGTGATTCATTTAATGATAATTTGGAAACTCTGTGGTTATCTTGTCTGACCAGCTCATAAATTAACAGATTCGTTGGATTTCATTTCCCAGCTTGAGGTTATATTGTTTGATTTTTGTGCTTATCAGAGCCCTACTCCAATACCATAACCACTAAGGTGTCATTCCCATAGAAGCCATCTCTTTACCTTCGATATACTTATATCTTCCAAATCTTTTTGAACCTATGGTCACTCACCTGATACAAACCAAAATCATACCATCCTGTTCGTACCCTACACTCAGAAGAGTAGAATCTACTATATCTCTGTGACTTATTTTTTCATTTTCCACAGCAACTATTCTCAGGCCTACCTAAGTAATATTGTCAATTATTGTCAGAGGAAGATATGTGCTAAAGATTCAATCCCATTAAGAACTTGATTTGAGACTACTCCAACTTGGATAATTTGCAATAAAGAAGACGGACATACTTAGCTAATCGCTTTACATATGAACACTTGAAATAGGAACAGAAGTAGACCACTCAGCCCTTGTGCTTAGTCTGCCATTTATTCCTCATCGGTTTGTGTTTTAAATTCCGCATTCCCACCTACTCCCGATAACCTTTGATTTCCCCTGCCTAACCAGAAACGATTTAACTCTGCCTCAGAATATTCACTGCGACTGTGCCCACCATATTCCGAGGCAGAGTTTCAAAGTCACACAACCCTCAGGAAAAAAAATCCCCTCACCTCTGTCCTACAAAGGCAAACCTTAACTTTTAAGCAATGTCCCGTAGCTCTGACCCGCAAGAGGAAGCATTTTTTCCGCATGCACCTTGTCAAGACCATTCACAATCTTTTATACTTTATTCAAATCATCCCCTTCCTCTTCTAACCTCCAATATAAACAAGCTCAGCCTATGCAAGATCCCACTTATTACAGTAGTGCCTATTCTGAACCACCTCCAATGCACTTATATCCTGCTTTAAATAAGAAACTGCATGCCGTATTAGAGATGTAGTCTCACCAGTGTCATATATATCTGCATATTAACCTTTTCTGATTCATGCAGCAGATGATATAAATCCCTCTGTAACTCTGAATTCTGCAGTTTTTCTCCATTTAAATAATACTCTGCTTTGTCATTTTTCCTGCCAAAATGAACAAATTCACATTTTCCCACTTTATAATCCATCTATCAAATTTTTGCCCACTCACTCAATCTATCCTTCTGAAAACACCTTGTTTGGTTTTCACAACATACTTTTCTACCATTTTGAGTCATCTGCAAATTTAGCTGCCATGCCTTCACTTTCTATCCAAGTTATTGATGTAAATTGTGAGAAGTGGAGGTCCCCGCAAAGACTTCTTCAGGACTCCACTCATTACATCCTGCCAACTAGACAAAGGCCATGCATGCAATCTCTGTTTTCTGCCAGCCAACCAATCTTCTATCGATTCTAATATGTTAGTATCTACACCACGAACTTTTATAGAAATGAGGAAGTTTGCCAGAGTTGTACAGGGCATTCATGAGCCCATATCTGGAGTAGAGCAGATACCTTCGGTCTCCTTTTCTAAAAAAAGGCATCAGTAAAGGGCAGTTAACTGATTCCTATGATAGAGGGATTATCTTGTAAGGAAAATTGGACAGGTTATGCCTGTCCATTGGAATTTCGGAGAACAAGAGGGAACTTTATTGAAACATAAAATATCCCGAGGATCTCAACAATGGATACTGAAAGGGCATTTCCTTTTGTGAGAGAGATTTTAACTAGAGGACACGGTTTGAAATTAGGTGGTCTCTTCTTTTAGGGGATCATTAGCCTATGAAATTTTCTTCCACGGACACCAATCATAGATCATAGAATCCCCACAGTGTGGAAACAGGCCATTCGGCCCAACAAGTCCACAGCGTCCCTCCGAAGAGCATCCCACCCAGACCTATTTTCCTACCCCTGACTTCCCACGTCTAACCCACTTAACCTAAACATCTCTGGACACTTGGCAATTTAACATGGCCAATCCACCTAGTCTGCACATCTTTGGACTGTGGGAGGAAACCCGAGCACCTGGAGGAAACCCATGCAGACAGTCGCCCGAGGCTGGAATCGAACCCAGGTCCCTGGTGCTGTGAGGCAGTAGTGCTAACCACTAAGCCACCGTGCCGCCCCAATGGAAGCAAAGTTTCTGAATATTTTGAAGGGAGAGGTAGATGAATTCTTGACTGATGAGGAAATCAAAGGATACAAAGAGAAAGCAAGAATAAGTTGAGGCCACGATCACACATCCATGATTTCATCAAAGGATACAAAGAGAAAGCAAGAATAAGTTAAGGCCACGATCACACATCCATGATTTCATCAAGTGGTAGAGCAGGCTCAATGGACCGATTGGCTCACTTCTTTGGTGAGATGGTAACGTTATATT